AAAGATTAGGCCATTGCTCTGGGTGTTTAAAGAGGGGCTGAGGATATAGCTCAACAGCATAAGTGCCTGCCTGGGAAGCACAAGGTCCTGAGTTCAATCAGTGGTACCCACCAAAAAAAAAAAAAAAAAGGAGTGAAGAAATGACCAGTAAGAGTGGCGTGGAATCATATATGAGGGGTACAGTGTTGTGGAGGACACTATCAAGTGTCAAGGTAACTAGCAAAATTTAAATATGAATAGGAAGGTAGATATTAGGGTTGACTGTTAGTCTTCTGGAATTTGAGAAGCAAATGATGATTATAAAAGGGGGAGCCTTTTTTTCCTTTTTTTTCTGCACATGTGTTGAAAAGTGTAGAGGAGTAAATACAACATTGGGATGTTGCCTCTTCAATTTTTTTTTTTATGTATTTGATGCAGGGTCTGTAGGGTCTACAGGGTCTCACTACACAGATGGGACTTGTAGTGATCCTCCTGTTTTCAACCTCCCAAGCACTGAGATTACATATGCGCACCACCATGCCCAGTCTCAGTGGCTGTCTCAGCATGCCCCAGGGGCGGGACGGGGATCGAACCCTGGCCACTGCGCTCTGCCTAAGCAGGTGCTTTAGTCCACGGAGCTGTCTGACCTCCTCAATTCTTTTTTTTTTTTTTTAATTGCGGAACCAGGGATTGAACTCAGGCCCTTGCTTTTGCCAGGAAAGCACTTATTCCACTGAGCCATCTCCCCAGCCCCATGACCTCTTCAATTCTTGCAAAGGAAAAACAAACAAACAAACAAACAAAAAAATAGGCCAGGCATGATGATGCATAACTGTAATCCCAGCTACTCAGAGGCTGAAGATTTCAAGCTCAAAGCCAGTCTGGGCTAATTTGGGAAGGCCTGTCCCAAAACAAAGTAAAAAGGCTGGGGACATAAACTAAGAGCTACAGCACTTTTTTTCCTCTGTTTTCTTTGTTTTTTGATTTTTGTTTTCAAGATAGAGTTTCACTATGCAGCTCAGGCTGGCCTTGAGCTCACTTTGTAGCTCAGGCTGGTTTGGAGCACAATGATCCTCCTGCCTCAGCTTCCCGAGTGCTGGGGTGACAGGTGTGCGCCCCCACACCCAGCTAATATAGCACTTTCCTACCATGTATGTACAAGGCCCTGATTCAGTCACTCCCCTCTACAACAATAATAGGGACTGGGGAGATGGCTCAGTGGAATAAGCGCTTCCCTGGCAAGCGCAAGGGCCTGAGTTCAATCCCCGGTTCTGCTAAAAAAAAAAAACCAAAAAAACAAAACAACAAAAAAACCCAATAATAATAGTAATAATAGCACCATTAAAAATAGTAGTAAATGGGCTGGTGAGATGGCTCAGTGGTCTAAAGCACCTGCTTAGAACAAGCTTAGCAAAGCCCAGGGACCACGGTTCAATCCCCCAGCACCACATGCCAGCCAGCCCGCCCCCTGGTGGGCTGAGCTGGCCACACACACACACACACACACACACACACACACACACACACATAAATAAATAAATAAAAAAAATAGTAGTAAAGTAACAATAATAATAGTATACAATACAGCCTATAAGGGAAGATGTTCCCAGGTACGGAAACATATTTAGGGCCTATGGCAGTGGTGGGAAACCTACTGCACATGGGCCAAAGCTGGCTGTCAGGAAAGCTCTAGAAGTTCGCCATCACTGGTCTGTGGTATTCCTTCTGCTGTTCTTAGGACTTCTCACAAGTTTGAGTCTTTCCAGGTAGAACAGCATGTTAAAATTCAGCAAGATTTAGAAGCTGACTGCTTTTCTTCGCTTTACTTCTACCCCTCGGCCCAAGCTGCTGTCTTCCCTCTGCGAACCCGTCCCTTGACCGCAGTCCAGTCCCTGCTGTGGGTGACCTCATCCTCCTGAGCCCGGTTCCCTCAGACGACCAGAAGGAACCGAATAACGCATGAGCTCATCTCTGCCTGGCTCTAAGCCCCAACCGGGTTCCTGGTCCCCACAGGGCAAATGCAGAAGTGCGCTGCGCCCGCTCTGCCCCCCCCCCTTCTCTAGCCACCCTGCCTCCCTGTCGCCAGCCTGCCAGGGGCTCTTCACCCTGGTACCCAAATAGCTCTTTTCTCTCAAGTCTTCACTCTAATGGCGCCTTTTCAGGATGCTTTTGCCTGGTGCTTTAAAATCCCAAACTTGCATCCTCATGCCACCAGCAGCAGCAGCAGCAGCAGCAGCAGCAGCAGCTTCAGCAGCACCGCTTCGTTGCTGCAGCCCCTGTCACAACCTCCACACCCTGCACTGCCAGCGTCCAGAGGGCCTGGGAGACACCAAGCGCCCCATGATGCTTACTGACTGAAGGCTTCTCCGGCCAAGAGAAGGAAGAAGGGCTGAGGCTCAAGAAGGCTGACAAGGCCCGTGTGAAGGTTATGGGCCCTGGTGGGAGCTGGAGCCAGGATGGCTGCACCGGGCCAGCCGCCCAGAGGAAGCTGCAGAGGTCGAGAGAGGTCCCGTGCTGCTAAGGCTGCAGCGTGGCTTCCTCAGGTCTCAATTCCCCTGCAGGCCATTCCTAGCCAGATCCCAGGGCAGACAGGAGCTGGCAGAAGGAGGGACAGCCTAAGCCCCGATTTCATAGCCACTGCCCATAAGCAAGGGAGGCAGAGGTTAAAGTGATGGAACCGTTGTCTCCTTGGGTTCCTGCCCCTGTGTTTCTGCTACAGGAGACCAATTGGCCCAACATGGCAGAAGGTGACTTGAGGCAAAGGGACCCTCCATCTCCCCAGAGGTGGCTTTGAGTAAATCCTTTCTCCTTTTCATCAAAAGAAGTGGTTTCTTTTTGTGACAGGGAAAAATAGCTCCCAACTTGTTAAGTAGTAGTTGGGCCAAATTCATGGACTCACAACATGGAAAGGAACGAAATCTCAAGCAAAGAAAGAAGTCAGGAGAGTTTTGCTGGAAATAAGGAGAGATCTGGGATTTCCAGGAGGGGTCCGGAGCAAGTGGGCACTAAGGCACTTTGTCCAGGGACATTGTACACAACAAAACCACCATGTGGGACAGCGTGGGTCAAACTACAAACAGCATATAGGGCAAGATGATGTAGCTAACTTTTGTCTTTTTTTTGGTGGTACTAGGAATCAAACTCGGAACCTTGAGATTGCCAGGCAGGCACTTATGCCCTAGAGCCTTGTTTTTATTTTATTTT